CATTATAAAGAGCACACTTTGTCATTTTTGCGACGTTTTACGAAGGTTTTTTACGACACTTATCCACTGCCAATATTATAGGGTGTCTGTCAATATTTTGAGGTGGCCTTCCGTTATTTTTTTCTGATCCACTTGGAGTTGTTTGTAAATTATACCACGCTAATTCAACAATATAAATAGAAGTAGTAGATAATTATTTCTCTCTCACGAGACATATTGATGCCAAAGCATGATGAAGAGCCAGTTTTCCTGATTTCTCCCTCATTTTTTTAAAATCTAACCCTATTTCCCTGATTTTTTATGAAGTTATCTGACTTTCGTAATCTAGTGGATACCCTATACTATTAAAATTAAAAAAGATTAAATCACCCAAAATTGAAAAAAATACTTAAGTTACAAAGTGAAAGTTTTTCGACTTTTGTGAAATTTTATCAGTAATGCTATGAAGAGTCTAAAAAAAAATATCTAAATTCAAAAACTTAAACTTTAAAAGTATTTTAGGTTACTATAGTTGTTTAAAATAACTTGTATAGCAACAGTTGCTAAGTGGCAGTTTTCTAGAAGCACTTTTGTAATTCGAACTAATATAATAAAACAGATATTTGAAGCCTAAAGGGTAATATATACAATATTGTTTTATTAATAACAAGATTTTTTTATTTTAGTATAAATTTGAAAAATTTACTTTCGTGCTCACCGTTTCCCTAAACATTTAAGATCTTATTGACAAAACAAAAATTTTCTCAAAGTTTTAGAAATGGGAATGAAATTTGAACCTCAATCATTAACATTAAGTAGAATCTTTTGTAATAACTATTTTTGGACGAAAAAAAGATTTTTGTATTAGGTGAATTATGATTAGAATCCAAATGTGGTTTAAGTTCAGACTGTTATTTGTCCGTCTAAGGTACCCGTTTGAAAACGTAATTCGTTATTACAGATTGAGATTTTGCACATTGCTAATACACTTGTGCCGGAACCAAAAATATTTAAAAACAATTCAAACGATTTAAAATGGCAAAGCTAATAGTAAAAAAAAAACTATTTTTAGCTATAAAACACTCAGCTAATAGAGTAATTGCAAATCAAGTTTTTTTTTAAGGCTCAGGCAATAAAAACTTGAATAATGAACATATCCTAAAAATATGGAGCTAAAATAATTATTTTTTAATGAAATATCACTGTTTTCTTTTAGCTGCTCGTCTTTTACAGTATTATTTTTTTAAAAAAAGATATTTACTATTAAATTCTACAAGGTTCATTAACATTTTTTAATATTTATCAGTTTTCACCAAAATAATGTCACGATACCACCTTAACCAGGCCGGCATTTAGCATGTCGCCCATATTGTCTAATTTTCAAAAAGTACTTTAGTTCTTTAATTTAAAGTATGTCATCCTACATATTGTATAATTAAAACGTAAACTATGCGGAAACTGTGATGAAACATTTTAATTGTTGTCACAATTGCAATGTGAAAATAAGATACATGTTATTATTAAATTATTTTTACTAATGATATTAGCAGAAAAAAGAAAACGCCGAAAAAAATATAACAGTTTTGTTTGTTTATTCAAACACAGAACCTAACTATAATACAAAAATAATATGAAACTGAGTAAAAATTTTTAAATAATTTACAATTTTAATATTTTATTTTTGCAAAATATAATATTTTAATATTTCATTTGCGCAAAGTATTTAAAAAAAATTTTATCATATAATTATTTCATAAGATCTGAATTTATTGAGATAATAGTCCAAACTGCACCATGATTTTCATAAATTAGAAAAAAATAAATTTCGAAAGTG